GGTACCGGGTGTATTAGGACACAGACTCGTCAAAACGGACGTCACGGGAGTCGAGGAACTGGTGGAGGGGCGGGTGGTAAAAGGAGTGGTCGGCAGAGTCCTCCAGGAAACCAAGGAAGACACAGGGGATGGCGCGAGCCGAGAGCTTGTCCGCGGAGGTGTCGCGGACTTGTGCAAGGCAGCCCCAGACACGAAAGGCCGACCCAACACCAGGGGACCCGGTCCAAAGACTGGTCGGTGAAGCCTCTGGCCGCGAGACACGCGGCTGGAGGTTCAGCTGGTGTGCGGCGTAGCGAACCGCGTAGGGCCACTGAAAATGGGGCGCACGGGCATGGATCATGGACGTGCGGGCAATGTCCATGACCAAGCCAATGCGGCGCTCAGCAACCCCATTCTGCTGTGGGGACTCTGGAAGCGTCCAGGACTGTACGATGCACTGTTCGCCGCAGAATCCGGCAAGAATGCCGGAGCGAAACTCGCCCCCACGGTCGGAGTGTAGACAACTGACACGACGACCGCGAGTGCCCTCGGTGGCCTGAAGCCACCGGATCAACGTAGAAGTCACCTCGGACTTCTTCGCGAGAGGAAACACTGTGGTGTACCTGGAGTAGTCGTCGACAACCACCAGAAAGTAGCGCTCCCTCCCAGATCCCTGCGTAGGGGCAGGGCCCCAGACGTCCAAGTGGAGAGTCTCGAAGGGAGTGGTGGCCGGACGAAGGGAGGAGGAGTGGGGAGTGGCGCGTAAGCGACCGGCGACGCAAGGAGTGCAAGGGGGAGCAAGCGAGGAAGGGAGCGACGGAAAGGTGCGCGGGAGACCTGTGACAAGCCCGTGAGTGGTCATGCCGCGGAGGCGGGGGATCGACGGGTGGCCAAGGCGGTGGTGCCACAAGATGGTCTGGTGGGTGAGGGACCGACAGGAGCAAGACGCACCGCGCGGCAGAGTGGTCGTCGCGGCCGCAGACACAGGGGCTGCCCGGTCCAGTGAGGCACCAGTGGTCACAGGGGCCGGTGTCACGGCGAGGGGGGGAGGGGCCCAGTTGGAAGTGCTGCTGCTACGGCCGGTGCTCCCTGGTCCTCCCTGACCCCACTGCGGCGGGGGGCCCCAGTGCTGCTGCGGACCCCACTGCAGTGGGGGCCCCCAAGGCTGGAACTTCTGCGGTGCCTGCTGCTGCTGCTGTCCCTGCTGCTGCTGCTGTCTCTGTTGTGCCTGCTCCTGCTCTGGCTGCTGCTGCTGGGGTCCGACACCCCCGCTGGTCGGAGCACCGCCAGTGGGCGGCACGGTCTGTCCTGCACCTCCCCCAGGGCTCCCTCCTCCTGGTGCACCACCGCCGCTGCCGCCACCACCACCGCCGCTCCCAGCTCCACCTCCACCGCCTCCCCCACCTCCCTTCCCGCCCTTCTTGCCACTCTTGCCCCGTTTCTGCCAGTCAGCGGCAGAAACGGCCGCAGTGTCCTCAGAAACCGGCACAACAGCAGAGGCGCGGGTAGCAGTGAAAGTGGGAAGCTCAGGGGCGGCACACCCCGCAAAAAGGCGGGGGGCCACGGTGAGGAGGCTACTCTCGATCGTCCCAAGAGCGGTCTCAAGGAGATCGATAGTGAGCTCAGTGGGGTGCTTCTGGAGCGCGTCGCGAGCAGTGGCAAGGCGGTCAGGGAGGCGCGTGATTAACCAGTGCACAGTGAGCCACATGGGGGGGGAGCAGCAAGAAGCTGGGCGTCGGTACAGGCCGCACGGAAACCGGGTCAAGTGAGCGAAGGTGAGTCACTAGGTCGGACACAGTCGCAAACGAGCCTAGGTCGGGAAACACGAACGGCATGAGGAGGCGACTGAGGGAGGCAGAGGAAGGGGTGGAATAGCGTGCAACAACAGCATCCCAAACCCCCTGGGCTGTCTCCACCTTGTCGAAGTGGGCGGCCTCAGTCGGGGGGAGGAGCTCCGTCAGCGCAAGAGCGGCGGCAGCGTCGCGGGAGTTCCACACGTCCCTCGCCAGGACCCGACGGTCGTTGTCCGTTTGGCCCGCAGGAGTCGGCTCTGGGCCGGTCGGCAGGGGGGCGGGGGATTGGGGCGCCTTGAGGGCACCAGACGCGTGGGCCCACAGGGTGGCGCCGTCCTGACGCTGACTGGTGAGGTAGCGCGTAGTCTGGTGCTGCCAGGTACTGAACTCGATCGGGCACCCATCCACATCGAAGCGAAGGCGGCGGGATTCCATAATGGAGGCCATGCTAGAGGCGGCCGGAGCACGGAGGAGAAAAAACACGGAGTCCTAGGAGCGCCAGTGGAGACTAAGATAGAGACCGGCGGAGGACTGAGCAGACTAAGCGAGGCGGGAAACTGGAGGCTAGGAGCTAGGCTAGAGACTAGTCTACATAGGGTCACCAGGGAGAGGAGCGGCTGCCAGCCGCTGAGCAGAAGGCCAGTGACAGTAGGGACGGTTCGGGCCCGGTGAACAGGGCGGTGGAGCGGTTAACCCTAAGATGACCACGGGCCTGGTGAGAGTTCGGGCCGGGCGGCGCAGGGCGAGGGCTAGTGCTAACGGAGGAAAGGGCGTGAGCAGAGGGCGGGCTAGGCGCTGCCTGGGGCGCGGGCTGGTGCGTGGGCTAAGCGCGTGCGAAGGGCAGGCCAGGCGCGGGTTAGGTGCGGGCTCGGGTTAGGCGCGGGCTGGTGCGCGGGCGTGCACTAAGGGAGGGCGCGGAGATGCGGAGGCGCGGAGGCGGAGGCGCGATGCGCGGAGGCGCGGAGGCACGAGGCGGAGGTGCGGATGCGCGAGCTAGGGCGCGGGCCTGGGCGACGGGCTAGGGCGCGGGCCTGGGCGACGGGCTAGGGCGCGGGCTGGGGCGACGGGCTAGGGCGCGGGCCGGGGCGACGGGCTAGGGCGCGGGCCGGGGCGACGGGCTAGGGCGCGGGCTGGGGCGACGGGCTAGGGCGTGGGCCTGGGCGACGGGCTAGGGCGCGAGCCGGGGCGACGGGCTAGGGCGCGGGCCTGGGCGACGGGCTAGGGCGCGGGCCTGGGCGACGGGCTAGGGCGCGGGCTGGGGCGACGGGCTAGGGCGTGGGCCTGGGCGATGGGCTAGGGCGCGGGCCGGGGCGACGGGCTAGGGCGCGGGCCGGGGCGACGGGCTAGGGGTGCAGGCTAGGGGCGCGGAGGGCGCTAGGCGCGGAGGTCCGCGACGGCGCGGGCTAGGGGCGCGGAGGGCGCTGACGCGCGGAGGAGGAGGGCGCTAAGGCGCGGAGAGGGCGCGGAGGGCGCGGAGACTAAGGCGCGGAGGGCGCGGAGGGCGCGGAGGTGCGCTAGAGAGGGCGCGGGCTAGGAAGTAACGAGGAACTAACCTACCCGTGATACCATCTCAAAGTAGGAATGCAATGGAATGCTTGGGATTAGGAATGTGGGTGATACAAATAGCAAACCCTAACTTAGTTGTACTCACTAAGGAGCACCTCAATACAGCCTATCACAAGTAACAACATTTGACAGATGGACCTTGGCTCAGCCATGTTGTCAGTGCTGATTGTCTGTTAGCTCCTATCGTGTTTATTGTGCTCGATGGGTTTGCTAATAGTACATGAGTGTCCAATTTGTGTGGAGTTGCTACAATTATTGGGGGAGGGCGGACCTTTCAAAGTTCCGCAACCACCGCTTTCCCTGGAGTGTTTTGTGAGGCATGCTGGGTTGGTGCGGCTGACGCGCTCAATGAGTGGAGCACTCACGCAAGGGGCCAATCACAGCCCTTCTCATGTACGTGTCGCGTGGTCTTGGTGCGGCTGTCGCGCTCAAACTCGCAGTACATTTGGGCTTTGTGACATTAGCTTCAGAGACATTTGGACGCGACTCGGGCAAAAATCGATTGCGACACTTTCTTAAGGGACATGTCCTGAGATGAATGTACCCTTCTCTTGTGTGGTTCTTGGGAGATAATTGTGATTGAGTTAAGTTTCAGCTCCAGCATACCCCCTAGTGCGCCGAATTTTGTAACTCACGATTTACTTCACTTTTTTTTTATACGATTCAAATTGGGAATTGTAGCTATGGTCTAGAGCTACAATATATATGATTTTGGTGAAGTTTTAACGGTGCGTTTTTCGTCGACGGCGTTTTTTGTGAAGTCGATTTTTCTGTCCATAATTCTAGTCCAACGATTTTGAGATATTTCGGCCCCTAAACTTCCTAGACCCCGTCCTTAGTCTCTAACAAAACTCAGTTAGGGTTTCATATTTGTACTGCCTTGCTTTCCTAGTCACACCATTCCGTTGCATTCTATTTCTGAGAAGATGGCACACTGCCTGCTGGATGAAGTGGCACACGTAGGTAGAATCACTGCATGCCAGTATTAGCCTCAAGATACTGAGCACTGGTATTACTAGAACCAGCACTGGTGACAACTTTGCTTCAACACAAAGTGGTGCTACCCGATGACCTCTACCAGGGCTAACTTTAGTAAAATGACCCGTCTGGCTTTAAGACCGGGTCCTGGCTCCTTGTCTGATTGTCAGACGAAATCTGTAACATTGTCTAGCTTTTCAGACGAATCCTAAGTACTTGTCTGAGATTTCAGATGAAGATATATAGCCAGCAAGCAATGTATTTCAAAAATTATAACTATAAATGTCAAGAATCCATGATGCCATCCTCCAATGGTCCAGTCAGTAGAACCGGAACTTGTGAAGAATGAGGTTTCGGGTTCGAATCTTGTCGCCTGACTTTGCCAGGCAGGTGCAGTCATCCTTCTTCTAGTCCGCGAAAATTTTGCTCTCAGACGAGAAAAGACTCGATATCTGCAGTCTCAGACGAACTGTATAAGGATGTCTAAGAATTCAGATAAATAGAAAAACATTGTCTAAAAAACCAGATGAGTTCAAAACGACATGTCTAGGCCATCAGATGAACCATAAAAAACGTGTCTGAAATCCAGACAAACAGACAAAATATTTCTGATAACGTAGGCCCTGACCTCTACCAGTAAATGTCTCAGATCAATTATTGTCCTTCCCCGAATAGCAATCTGAGTCAGGCAGCAGGAGCAGCAGGCGCTCCCGTCCCTGCCCCTCTCCCACCACCCGCCCTGCCGCCTCTCCTCTTGCGCCGCCCCCACGGCCACCGCAGCCTTGGCTCGGGCGGGAAGAGGCTCCTACGGTGGTGGTTCCCCGACCGCTCCCACGTGCAGTAGATACCAGCGGCGGCAAAGACAGCAGCAGCGGAGAGCGCGGCGAGGAGGCCGAAGTGGCGCACGTCGTGGGCGGCGATGGCGAGGGCGAGCATGACGAGCTCTGCCAGGCTGGCCAGCGCCACCTCCGTGGTGCCCACTATGTTGGCCTGGGCGGGTGGGATGGCCACTTGGAAGATCTGTGCGTCCACCACGTCGTACGTCCAGTGGCCCAGCCGGGATACCACCTGCTCACAGGGGCGTGCGGGGGGGTTGGGTGGAAGGGGTGGGGGGATTCGTTACCACGTCGTATGTCCAGTGGCCCAGACGGGAGAGCAACTGCAGGGAGAAGCGGGGGGGTAGGGAAACAAAAACAAAACTCAATCTTAGAAAGGGAGTGATTAGTTGTAGCTTGTGACAGGGTAACCCAGATGGAATTTATTAACTAAGGGGTAACACTAGTGGTATGAGTAACTGCTGACGGGGATAACTCACAATGAGGGCGAGGAAGGCGAGGAGCAGCGAGTGGTGGTGGCCCATGGAGTGAGAGAGGGCGAAGACCCCCAGGGAGGCCGCCAGCACGAGAGACTGGAACAGCAGCGCTGCCCCGCCCGCCTGGTGCAAGAGAAATCAGGGGACGAGGTGGCGCGAGGTGGGGTGAGGTGAGGTGAGGTGAAGGGATGAGGGTGCAATCAGGGCAGAAGGAGGGCTGGGTTGGTGGAGAGGAGAGGACACAAGAAGGAGGAGAGGAGGACGGCGAGATGGCGTGTAGGCGCTTGGAGGCGCAAGGGGATGTGAGAGGGACCTAAGCGACAGTAGAATAAGGAGGCCGTGGGAGGAACAGCAGGTTGTTTAATGACCTGCACCACGCCCCTCTCTCTCACCTGCACCACGCCCCTCTCTCTCACCTGCACCACGCCCCTCTCTCTCACCTGCACCACGCCCCTCTCTCTCACCTGCAGCAGGCCAAGGCGGGTGATGAGGAGCGGCGAGAGGAAGGTGGCGGCGAATCCCATGGCGGCACACGCGCCTCTGAAGGCGCCTATCACAACAACGTCCACTCCTGGGGGGAGGGGGGTTTGAGAGGTGGAGAGGGATGGAGAGGGATGGGCGAATGGGGCAAGCAAGGTGGGCAGGATGGGACACTTTGACCACACGCTTCTCTGAACCGAAGGCCCGTATCAACGACTCGTCAACTCCTGAGAGTGGGGGGCGAGAGGTGGCGAGGGATGGGGCGAGCAAGGTAGTAGGACACTCCGTCCGACCACATGATACGAGTTGGTTTTTGAGAAATCTAGAAAACCAGCTCGTATCAGACGCCCACTCCTGCTTGTTGGGGGCGAGAGGTGGAGAGGTGGAGGATGGGATGGGCAAGGAAGGTAGGATGAGATGAGATGTGATGGCAGGATGAAGAGAGAGGAAGGGAAGTGAACGCACAAAACACTAAGGGGTCACCACACGCCAGTGTCAGATTATTATCTTCATTGTAACATGCATCTATCCTATAAGCTTTGGTTAGAGATAGGCACCCAACCTTAGTTTGGGTGCACAACTAGGGTTAGAGGTTGGAACCAAAACTTGGCCCAATTATTAGGGCCCCCATGGTTGGGTTGGGAGCTGATTGGCCCCCCCAATAATGTTGACCCACTTTGGTCAACATTATTGGTCCCCCCAAAAACTCCTCAACCCAACTTATTAGTGGGGGCCAATAATGTTGGCAAGGTTCCTCTACCTTAGCTCAACTATGAAAACTCATGCATCTCCTAATCAAACTATTGGTTCTTCTTCAATCTTTGTCACAGCCAGTGCCTCACCACACGCCAGTGGCCTGGCCCCACCCACCTTGCAAGCCCCTACCCTTGGTTCGTGTCATGCCGACTTAATAGGTCACACATTCCTTCTCCCTAAAGAAACTACTTGCATTGGCCCACTCGCCTTGCCCTCTGCGCCTCACCTTGGTGGGTGAGGAAGCTGGTGATGAGCCCCCCGGGCGAGAGCACGCAGTTGAAGAAGAGCAGCACGTACGCCACACTCACCGCCAGCACCGGCTGCCCCAGGAAACTCCTCCACCCGCGCACCACCGACCGGAACGACATCCCCAGAACCGACACAGCTGCCCGCAAGCTCCCAGTGAGTGCCGCCGCTACAGCCTTGGCTGCTGCTGTGAGGAGCAGCATGGGCGGTGGAATGCTGGCAGCAGGGGAGGGTGAGCGGGTGGATGCGTGTATTCTTTTCATCTCCCTGCTGCTGCTGCTGCTGCTAGTGTGTGTGGAGGAGGTTTCCAGTGAGACTTGCGGCGTGGTGGGCGGCTTTGGGCGGCTGAGAACGCCGTTGGACTGGCGGTCGGTGAGCAGCACGAGGCAGATCTGATGGGCGGGAAGGCGGGAGGGGAGCGAGTGTGAGGGCTAAGATGGTGAGAATGGTGCATCAAGGAAAGACGATGACCCTGAGGCTAGACAGACGGAAGGCTGAACAGGTGAATCAACGTACGAGGTTAACGGTGGTCGCGAGAGGTTGAGTGAGCGCCTCCAGCGAGTGAAAGCGGAATGGAAGTAGGCCCAGGGAATAGGGCAGCCATAGAAGCAACATACGAGGGTGGGGAGGGAGAGCAGCTCACAAGGGTCGGGAGCTCACGAGGATGGGGAGGGAGAGCAGCATGGTGGCGAGGGAGGCTTTGATGCACACAGCCGGGCTGAACGCTGACAGCAGCCACCCAAACACCAGCGGCCCCGCCACCTGGCACCGCGTGATTGGATGGAGGTGGGAGGGGTGAAAGGAGGGAGAATGTTTTGAACGGGAGTGAGGGGTTTGCACGAGTGTAATCGGCGTACATTGGGCAAAGCATAAGAAAGCAGAGAAGGAGAAGCGAGGGAGGACGGAGGCAGATAGAGACTGATAGGCCGATAGGCTCACAGCCTCACAGCCTCATCATCCCATAGCATAGCCTGCCCTGCGCTCACGCACGTCACAGAAGAGGTCGGCCCGGCGCAGCATGGCGTTGGCGTTCGCCAGCGCTGCCGCATTGTCCTGCCCCGCCAGCTGCCGTGGGGGTGCACGGGGGGAGAACAGGGGTGGGAGGGGGAGGCGGAGGGGGGAAAGGGGGGGTGAGAAGCACACAGGGGCAGCATGGCGTTGGCGTTGGCGTTGGCCAGCGCTGCCGCGTTGTCCTGCCCCGCCAGCTGCCATGACGGTGGGGTGAGAGCAACCATGGGGAGTCGGGGTGAGACGGCCGGTGGGGCGAGAGGGTGAGATAATGGGTTGAGATGAAGGAAGCAGGGGAGATGAAAGGGGGAGGAAGAAGGGCGAAAATGCGAAGAGAGCAGAGAGGAGATCTATTTATAGCACAGCAGGCACACAGGCAGGTACAACCCCCTCCCCTCTTCCTCCCCTTCCCCCCCTCCCCTCCCACTTACCAGAATGACCCAGTCACGTTCAAAGGCCACGCCTGACGCAATGCCAGTGATGCGCTCCACAGCGCCCGCCAGCACCAGCACCACGAACCACCCCTTCCTCATCAGCGCCGCTCCTGTCTGCCCCGCTGCTGCTGGCGCTGCGTGCACGGCTGTTAGCGTGGCTAGTGCTGCTGCTACCATGGCTGCTGTCTGGGAGTGGGGAGTGGGTGGGGGGAGCAGGGGATGGGCGTGGGTGGGAAGAAGGGGGGGGGGGGGGGAGTGTGGTAAGCAAGCAATGCTCACTGTGCCGCGCCCACCGCCAGCACCACGAACCACCCCTTCCTCATCAGCGCTGCCCCCGTCTACCCCGCTGCTGCTGGCGCCGCGTGCACCACCGCTGTTAGTGTGGCTGGTGCTGCCGCCACCATGGCTGCTGTCTGGGGGAGGGGGGGTAAGGGAGGAAGGGTGAGCAGGGGATGCGTGGGTTGGAAGACAGGGAAGAAGGGCACGGGCGTGGAGGGGAGTAGTGGGGAAGCAGCGTGGTAAGTAGTGCTCCCTATGCCGCGTGCACGGCTGTTAGCGTGACCAGCGCGGCTGCCACCATCGCTGCTGTCCGGGAGAAGAGGAGGGGGTGGGGGGAGAAGGGGTGAGCAAGGGATGTTGTTGCGTGGGGCGGGAAGGGGGGGACCAGTCTGGTAAGCACCGCTGTTAGTGTGGCTAGCGTTGCCGCCAGCTGCTGTCTGGGCGAGGCGGGGAAAGAGGGGAGCATGGGGATGCTTGTAGGGGGAATATGAGGCAGACTGGTTGCAGGGGATGGGTTTCACTGCCGTGCAAGCATGGATGCAGAAAACTGATTCATGCCCCTTCTGTCGCTCAACGGAGGTGCAGCAGTGGAGTGGAGGAGTGGAGCAGGTGGGCGCGGAGCAGGTGGGCGCGGAGCAGGTGGGCGCGGAGCAGGTGGGCGCGGAGCAGGTGGGCGCGGAGCAGGTGGGCGCGGAGCAGGGGGAGGTGAGTACCTGGATGCAGGAGATGGTGTTGAAGGCTGCCACCCGCGGGGCGGAGTCCATCATGTCGCCCACCAGTGGCGCGCCCACAAACACCACCAGCTGCCACCCGGGGCGACGGGGGATGGGGATAGAGGGGAGGAGAGGATGGGCGGATGGGCAAGACATGGATGGGGACTGGGGGGAACGGGGAATTTGGTAACTGGGATGAGATGATAGGGGAAGGGAAGAGATGGCGAGGGGGGGTCATGGGCGAGGCTGAGTGAGAAGCCCAAAGGAAGAGAAGAGACACGCCATGAACTGAGGTACAGCCTGGAGTCGTGCCGTGTGGACAGCATGGTGGGTGCGCGGCAGCACCTGGCCGGCGAAGCTGGCGACGGCGACGGGCAGCAGCGAGTCGTGCAGCAGAGCCAGCAGAGCAGCGCCCGTGAAGCGCCACGCGTGCTCCACGAAGCAGTTGAACACGAACGCCAGGTACAGCGCTGGGGGGGGGGATGGGTTTGGTGTGGAGGGCGCACGGGGGCGCAGTGGCAGGGGGGCGCAGGGGAGTGGGGATGGCGAGAAAAGGGGAGTGAGTTTGGAGTCGACTCAAAAGTCCAACACGTGGCTCGGATGCAGCGCTACACGCACTCGCCAGGGGGGCGCCAGGATAAACCAGGGTGGTCACAAGGGGGGTCACTTGGGGGCCCGCAGGGGGTCGCAAGGGGCGCAAGGGCGGTCACGGGGGGGGGAGGGGAGGGCAGGGGGAGCAGGAAGGAGTGAGTACACGTGGTGAGTCGAGAGCTGGAAGGGGCGGTTGAGGTGCGGTTGAGGTGCGGTTGAGAGGAGAGAGCGTGGCGGCGTATGGCACGTACAGTTAAGAGCGGCGGGGAAAGCGGCTGGCCTGGCTTCCACCGCAGCAGCCTCGTCGTCGCTCGACTCCCCGCCCCAAGCTGCATCCGCGCGCCCCTGCCGCTCCGCGCGCTCCGTCACGCCTGCTGGGCCCTTCCGCGCAACCAGCAGCCCAACCGTGTCTGACGTGCAAACGCTGCCCTCGCCATTTCGTGCGCCCTCGCCCAATCCCGTGGTCTCCCGCAGCTCTGCCTCCCCCGCCGCCAGCGCCCCATCAACTGCCTCCGGCCCCCCGCTTTCCGCCTCTCCCTCTTCCGCCTCCCCACTCTCCGCCGCTCCGCGCTCCGCCTCTCTCCTCTCCGCCTCCCCGCGCGACTCCCGCATCGCCAGCTCTAACTGCGCGCGCTCGAGCTCCAGCCTTCCCCGCGCCATCTCAAATTCCCCCCCTTCCCCCTCCGCCTCCGCTTCTCCCGCCAGACTCACTCCCGCGCTGCCTTCCGCCCCCAACCTTTCCCACGCCGCCTCCGCGCCCTCCGCGTCCCCCGCGCCTGCGCACGTCACACCGGCAATAAGCGCCCCCCCTGCATTGACCACCGCCCCGCCCACGGCCCCGCCCACCGCCCGCGCAATCAGCTCCGCCTCGTCCGCCTCAGTCCACACGCCCCCCTGCCCCGCGAGTCCGTCCCCACGCGCGCCAAGCCCCTCTTGCTGCGCGCCACCGCCCGCGCAACTGGCTTCCCCCGCAACCCCCTGAGCGCTGTCCCCGCCCTCCTCGTCCCCGCGCGTGGAGTGCAGCGGCCCCACTATCAGAACTTCCGCGCACACCGCCCGCGCGGACTCGGGGCTTGGCTGCGCGCCGTCGCCGGCGGAGAGGTGCGCCACTCTCCGCAAGCCGCGCCGCTTCTTCCGCGAAACGACGGGCCTCGCCTCCCTCGCCCCCTCTGTCCGGTTCGTAGCGCGCCGATGGCCCGCAGTGGTGCTACTGATGGCCCTACTAGAAGCCCCACTAACAGCGCTGCTAGCAGCCCCGCTAGAGGCGCAACGCTCCGCGCGCGCAGCACTCGATGCAGCAGCGGCGCGCGTGCCTAAGAGCGCCTGCATCTCAGCCGGTCGGGCTATCTCCACGCCTTGCCTGGACACGGCACCGCGCGGCGGCAGCGGAGACGACGCGAGGACTGCCGCGGCGATGGATCGAACCTCCATGGTGGCGGGCCGCGCGGCAGCCCGTCGATGGGGCGAACGGACGGCCGACGAGGCCAATGGTCAGCCGCTCGATGCAGCAGAGGACCCGTCGATGGGGCGAACGGACGGCCGACGAGGCCAATGGTCAGCCGCTCGATGCAGCAGAGGGAATGCGGAGGCAGCGATGGCTCCTTCACGAAATGACAATGCGTTACTGAGACAGACGGAACTAGTAGGGGAGTTTCGAGAAGGAATTGCTTTTCTGTTGTTGGGCAATATGTGATGTGATGTTTCAGGTGGTGCTGCTGCTGATGCCGAGCTGATGCTGGTGGTGAGGTGATGCTCATTTTGCTAGTGGTTGAAGGTTTGCCCGCACAAGCGGGGTTGCTGCGGGGGAGGCAAAGCTGCAGTGGCGCTGCCACCACCGCTGCCTGTGACAGGTCGGGTAATATTCGTGGCGATGCATTCTCCACGTGGGCACATCGATGTTGGCTTATTGGCCGCTCACCCCTTAAAAGGGTTCTTGTGTCTGTACGCGATACTGGGTGGCACATCCAGCAATTAGAGTCAGCTCAATTCAGCTAACATCAATGTGTTAAGAATCAACTTCTCCTTTATGGGTTGCTGTTACGGGTGCAATGTAGTAGCGAGGATTGCACTAAGTTGGCAAACGAGTACAAGGTGTTACGATCTGAAACCTTATGAGAAGGCATTCCTGTATGCTGCAGGAGCCGACTCTACCGAGTACGAAGTCGAAAAGTCAGAAGAGTCGACGCGACGCTGGTAACCGTCTGACCAAGACCGATGCAGGCAGAAACATTCGAAATGAAAAGAGCGGGAACAGGTTTGAAACGGGTTCCCGCGCCGCACGGTTTGAACTTCGCAGTAATAAGGGAATGTACCCCTTATAGTACATGGCTAGTCTAGATCGTTTCGTATTCCCTTGTATTTCCTATATAAACTCGATGTATGCATGCTATTATCAATCTCAGTCATTTACATTCACTCTGACCTGAGGTCACTAGTGTGAAGATAAGCAGTAGAAGAAGGCGCCATAGCTAGGTAAGTCCTAGCTAGGCAAGAGAAGTTTAGGCAAAAGAGGAGGTTGCACTAGCAAGAATGAGGATACAAATAGCAAACCCTAGAAGGGTTGTACTCGCTATAGAGCACCCCACTACAGGCTAGAGCATAATATTCTGACACACCCCCATAGCCAAAGTGGGGTGTAATCAGCAGAGCAAGCAAAGCAGTACAAGCTCAGGGTGGATCACAATGTCACCACACATTCTGAGCACAAGCTCAAGAAGCAATAGTTTAAAGTTCACAATTATGAGCAAAGCTAGTGGTAGTCACAACGGGCAAGTGAGGAGGAGGAAAGAGACTATGAGAGGAGAGGAGGTAGTGGGCGGCAGCTGAAGCTGCTGGCACACGGCGCAACTGGAGCAACTGGCACACGGGCAACTGGAGCAACTGGCACACTGGCAACTGGAGCAACTGGCACACGGGCTACTGGAGTAACTGGCTCCGCGGCTAAAAGTAGCGGCAGACGAGCAACGGACTCACGGGCGACTGGAGCAACGGGCTCACGGGCGACTGGCGCAACGGGCTCACGGGCGACTGGCGCAACGGTCTCACGGGCGACTGGAGCTGCTGGCTTCACGGCGGCCACCCCCTTCAACCTCCCCAAACTATCCCACTCCCCCTGACACACACCCGCTGCTACACCGCTAGCTCCACTCCCCCTTCACCCCCCCTTAGTACCACTCCAACGGCTCCAACAAGTCCACCCCCCCTCAGCGGCAGCTGCAGCACAGGGAGACGGAGGAGGAGGAGGAGCAGGGAACGGCACACAGTAGCTTCACCCCCATACCCCTCACCCCCAAACCCTAATTCAGGAGAACGGGCTGTAGGAGGGGTGGGGCGCCAGTAGAAGCACGGGGGACAGCGGGGAGGGCAGGGGCAGCGAGGAAAGGGCCGCCCACGGGCCTGGCATAGCCTCCCGAACCGCGCGCAGGCGGCCCGAGCCGCGCGCGGGCCTGGCGCAGTCCGTACGGGCCGCGCGCGGGCCTGGCGCAGCCCGTACGGGCCGCGCGCGGGCCTGGCGCAGCCCGTACGGGCCGCGCGCGGGCCTGGCGCAGCCCGTACGGGCCGCGCGCGGGCCTGGCGCAGCCCGTACGGGCCGCGCGCGGGCCTGGCGCAGCCCGTACGGGCCGCGCGCCGGCTGTACGGGCCGCGCGCAGGCCACGACGGGGCAGAAACCCGTCGCGCGCCTCGGGGCGCACGGCGGGCAGAAAACCGCCGCGCGCCTCGGGGCGCACGGCGGGCAGAAAACCGCCGCGCGCCTCGGGGCGCACGGCGGGCTGAAAAACCCTAATTTCGACGCCGCGCACCACGGGGCGCGCGGCGGACAGGGAGTAGCAGTAGCAGCGGAAGCAGTGAGGTGGGGCCCACAGGCCAGGAGCATATCGCTCTAATACCATGTGAAGATAAGCAGTAGAAGAAGGCGCCATAGCTAGGTAAGTCCTAGCTAGGCAAGAGAAGTTTAGGCAAAAGAGGAGGTTGCACTAGCAAGAATGAGGATACAAATAGCAAACCCTAGAAGGGTTGTACTCGCTATAGAGCACCCCACTACAGGCTAGAGCATAATATTCTGACAACTAGTTCTGCTGCAATACTACCCTGCGATCAACCCTGAGCGATCCTTCGCTAAGTCCCACTTGGGATTGTAACATGGTATGAGAGCTACTAAGGGATTCTTCGCAACTTTACTTCCGTGAAATTCGCTGAATCAAGATCTGGCGAGCGGCACACGCTCCAAGACCAAGATCGCCGGAGGATCCGGAGGCCAAGCAAATCTGACGGCCGAAGGACAAACCAACCCGGCTGCGACAAATGAGGCGACAACCACGATCAGCACTGCCGCACTCGAGCAGTTATTTTCGCGACTCTCAACTATGGAGAAAGACCTCCAAGAACTGCGCAAAGGCGATGCGGGAACCTCTTCCCAACCAGCCCAACCTCGACAACTGGCTGCCAAAAGCCGTGATACCGCCGCGCACAACTTCTCCCTCGACACAGACAAATCAACAACAATTGCCCCTCGTCCAAGTGATGAAGTCATCAACTCTGCGCAAGCACGTTTCTCAGCGTTTCAAAAAATAAGATTACTGCCGCATTTGACGGCAAGGATTTTTACACATGGAGTTTTGAGCTTGAGCTCCTCCTACAGAAAGCGCAGATCTACCACTACTTCGACGGCTCCTACGCAAAACCGGTAGAAGACACCGAAGACGCCAGGGCTCAGTACTACAGCGAGTCCCTCATGGCGTACAGTGTGCTGCTACGCAATATGACGCCTGCGGAACAACTCAGCATCCGTTCCTACAAAGAGAGCGCCGCTCCAGCCCTGGAGGCCTGGAAGCACCTCGTTGAATTATATCATCCGAAGGATCCGGTCACCGCCAGCAGGCTTCTGCAGCAACCCATTGTCAAAATGAGAGAGGAATGTGTGAACTAACAAGATTGGGAGTACAAGTAGGAAAACCTAGAATGTTGTACCCCCTAACGCTAAACCCACTATAGCCTACAGAATAGAAACATATACAATGTTTGACACACCCCCATAGGCTAAGTGGGAGACAACCAGATGGTCACAAGACCAGTCAAAGCAAGCAAAGCAAAGCACAGCTCAGGGTGGATCTCAAGGATACCACACAAATTCCGAGCACAAGCAAGCGGTCACAAGACCAGTTCACATGCAGTTTGATAATACAACAAGAAATACAGTGATCACAACCTAGCAAGTGTAAACATGCAGGTAGACATATATAAGGATCACAGTACAAGCAGAGTCAGGAAGTAAGCAAGTGAGGCACAGTAGGCACGAGGCCTAGAACATTACAGAAACGCTGATGATCACAAGGCTGAAGCGCCTTGGTGAACACATCAGCAGTGTTGGCCCGAGTGGCCACGTAAGCAAGACGAAGCTGACCACGCTGCTGTAACTCTCGAGCAAGAAAGTAGCGCAGAGCGATGTGCTTCGTTCTGTGCTCCAGTCTGTGCTCCTGACACAAGGCAATCATGGCCTTGTTGTCGACGTACAGCACTGGAGGAGAACGAGGCGGCTCTCTAAGGTCAGTCAGCAGGTAGGTGAGCCAGCGTAACTCCTGTGCAGCCATGGCCCCTGTCTAGATCTCAGCCTCACAACTGGAGCTGAGAACAGAAGACGAGCGGGTAGACCGCCAAGAAACAGAGCCGGAGCCAAGGCTGAAGGTGTAACCCTGTGACGACCGCTGCGTAGTCAAGTCGTCAGCCCAAGAAGCGTCAGCGTGACCAGTGAGGACAACTCGAGCCCGTCCTCCAAGCACGAGCCCCATGCCCGACGTACTGCACAAGTAGCGCAACACCCTCTTAGCGGCATCCATGTGTTCCTTCCGGTGACGGCCAGGAGCGACATAGCGTGCTAGGATGCTAAGAGGGTATGCAAGGTCAGGTCGAGTGCAGGTCATCAGGTACATGAGGCAGCCCACAAGCTCTGGGTACGGGCCACTCGGCTCTACGGACTCGTCCGAAGGTGGAGCTGAGAGCGAGTGACCGGTAGGCAGAGGAGTGGACTGAGGCGAGGAGTACGTGAAGCGGAAGCGCTGAAGGACCTGCTGCACCATGTGTGACTGAGTCAGGGTAATGGTGCGCTGTGCTCTGTCCCGGGTGATCCGCAAGCCAAGATAGCTTGTCAGCTCACCCAGGTCTGTGCACGTGTGTCTCTTCTGCAGCTCCGACTTCACGTGGGCGAGTCCCTCAGTGTCAGAAGTAGCAAAGACCAAGTCGTCTACGTACACGAGAACGTAGAACGGCGACAAAGTGGTGTCGGTGCGTAGAAACAGCGACGGGTCAGCAGTAGAAGGAGCAAACCCAAGAGCAGCAAGAGTAGTCCTCAGTGTGTCGTGCCACTCACGGGGTGCCTGGCGGAGACCGTAGACTGGCCGCCTGAGGCTCCACTGGGTACCAGGAGGAAACGACCC